TTGCCTCCGGTCGATGCCCCGTGGAATGCGAGCGCGGCGGCCGCATCGGCGGCGTCGCGGTAGCTGACGAGCGGGAGGCCGTAGCGCCTCGCGACGGGCTCGAGGGCATCGTCCTGGTACCTGTAGTCCGTGGGCGGCGCGGCCACGATGGTGCTGAGGAGGAGGAGCGCCGGCGGCGCCTTTGCGGCCGTCTGGAAGATGCGCCGCACGAGCAGTTCCACGGCGCCGCGAATGCGCGCGTATGGGTGATAGTTCCGGCTCTCCTCCTTATTCGTAAAAATGTCGTTGACCGTCTCGTCGAGGATGAGCAGGTCGGCGTCGGCCGTCTCGGCCGGGTCGAACCGCGCCAGCGCGTACATCGTCGTGTACCCGCCGCGGCCGAGGTTGCGAAGGCGCACCTCGCACGACGGCCTCGCAGCCCGGAAGCCCTCGACGAGCCGCGTCGGAAAGGCGCACGCGCAGAGGAGCCAGGATACGCCTAGGATACCCGTAACGCAGTCTCACTCTGATCTGGGTTATGTCCCCATTTTTCGCGCTGTGAGCCACCGCGCTACACCTGCTAGCTGTGCGCAGCTACACCGCTGCGAGCCTGCGCGCAGAGCGCGCCGCCCGCAGCAGATCCACCGCTCGCGAGCGGCGGATAGCCCCTGGAGCCAGAGCGCGCGCCGCCGCAGAGCCCGGCGTCGCGCCGCGCTCCGGTCCAGGCCCCACCAGCGCCCGCGCGGACCGCGCGCGGCGCAGCGGCGAGGACACCAGCACCCCGCCTTCCTACAATGCCGCCGCGGACCCGCGCGGGCGCGGCCGGCGGCGGCGACGGCGACGACGATCCGACGCTCCTCAGCATCGTCGAGCTGAACAAGCTCTTCAAAGACGTCGTCATCTTCACGCCGCAGAGCGGCGTCCATGACGCGAACAAGGCCCTCTTCAGGGCCTGGACGCGGTCGATCATGCTCCACGCGCCCGTGCTCGAAATCGTCGGACGGCACGCCAAGGCCGACTTCGGAGACATCTACGACGGCGAGTGGGCCAAGATCGACCAGTCCGAGCGGCCGCAGGCCGAGCACATGCTCGCCTACTTTCTCAAAACGAAGACCGCGGCCACGGCCGCGAGCCTCGTCCGCAGCCTCGCCAGCAAGGGCGCCGACGCC